TGATTGTTAAGCAGCTAACTTTGGAAGGCGAATCATATTCTTTACTACTCCGGTCGAGAGGTTCAGAGTAATATTAACTTAAAAATAAACCCCGTTTAGTTTTAAATATATGTTTTTAGTAATTAAATTTGTTTAACGATACAAAGGATGATAGTAGGAAGGAGAAGAGGTAGAGTAAAGAAATGCATAGCAATGGAAGGGAGCAAGGAAATACAATACGAGGAAAGATACTGAAAAGATGACCTCTGCCAATACAATATAGACCTTAACCAATTACTTATAGGAAAAAAACTTTTTCAATCAATCCGGAAATGAAAAATGGAACGAATTCCAGATTTAACAGGTAATTCGAGAGATAAGGCCCTGAAGGAAGAATGCTATCGGAGCAAAATTGAATCCAACAATAGCCACCTGGAAATACGGAAAAAGCCGATAAATCCTATCAAGGAACAAACAATGGAGAAGAGATAAAAGGGAGATTATGGAGCCGGACTAACAATATAAGACAAATAAATACTTTGAGGTAAGAGAGATTGGCAAGGTATCGGCATGGAAATAAATCGGGAATGAGGGAGGCATGAGGGCATTGCCATTCTACCACCGTTCCACACAATACAATCCTACCCTCATCCGCCGGCAACCTTCTCGTTCAACAAAACAGTCCTTCATTTCTTCCCCACTCTACTTAGTTAGTTCCTCTTCCCACACTAGGGGGTGGTTTCTCTCTTTTATTTACAGTTACTCTAATACGCCTTACTTCCCGACTTTTTTTCCAGATAAATCCAAATAAAAAAAAAAATAGAAACAAATAATTGTAGCTAGAGGGGAGGAGGAGAGGATGAATGGGCCAGCAGCAGTATGTACCACAAAAAGGGTTAAAAAAAAAAAAAACCTGCACAACTACAAGCCATGAAGGGTCGTGGATTCAGTACTATTTAGGGAAAGTATTGTTTCTTGGCCAACAGTTGTGTTGTACAAGGAAGTGATTTGACTGAGATCACGCTCAACCGCTTGGTTTTCACCTTTAATTAATCATTTTATAAAAATTAAATAATAGTAAATTAAGATTATTAATTTTTTTTTCAAGTACAAATATAAGCAAGCGGATACATTTACTTATATTAACAAATATGATTATTCAACAAATCAATTATATAAATCAGAAATTACATGAAAAAATGTACGCAATAACAATTAAACGGTATCAATGTTGCAAAATTATTAAAATCCCAGTATGTATAGGAAACACAAAGGGTATTAAAAGATAAAATAATGTATTACTGTATTGCTTGCCCGATAATATTAACTTGTTTGATAAATTATAAAAAACTTTAATCTAACATTGATTCAAACATATAGTAAACGTTGAAGTATTGTGGGTGTAAGGAGATTTTCTTTTAGGCATTTGAGTGGCTTAATATGAAAAATGGAAATCTGTCATTCTGCCATTTCCAAAAATTGGAGAGAAAGTCAATTTTTGTTTTATAGGTTTAACTCAAACTGTTTTTGATGTTTTAATGTAAGAATGTTAAGTTAAATCACGGGGAGGGGAATCATTTAAATTGAAGCTGTATAAAAATTAGCTTTTTCTTAACTTTTCAAAAATCAAAGATCGTCTTTAATATTAAGCCACTCATTTATTTATGCTATATGCTTATCAAGGTGGAATCCTCTATAACAGGGATAAAATGGATATTATTAAAGAAAAATATATGATAATCTGAAGTAGAGGTATAGTTGTCTTAAAATCAGGAAAAGTTTAAAAAGCTTTAAATAAATCAAATATTTTTCATTACACACGGAAACGTATTCGACAACATAAAAAGACGGATACTTTTACTATCACAAAATCACGGGGAAGTCAATTATTCCGAGTTTATAGCATTGAGTTAGTGGAATTGAAGATGGACTTAACTTATCAAATGTTATAAAAATTTGTTTATTATTACACAACGTTTTGTCACATAAAATTAGGAAAAATACTATAAAAAAAAAAAAAAAATAGTTCTTAGTCCTCATAGATCTAAAACTTTTTTTTGATCCAGAATGGAGGTAGCCATTGATATCACGGTCATTAGAATTTGTTCCGGAAAGGATGCCAGTGCTTATAATAGGGCAAACCGAAATAGTACCAGTAAATTATTCTAGAGAATTTCTTTATACCTACGCAAAACAATATTAAGTCTCTCAAGATGAAACGAAAAGAACAAAACGCTAAAGATTAATGTACATTGCGGTTTAATTCCCTAATAACCGAATCGAGGCTCGAATATAACCACTTGAGACTCCCGTAATAACCAGGATCAGTAGTGCCACTAGAGTAATGATTGATTTCGACCCCTCTACTCATACTAGCAACTTTGATATAATACTACAAAGCAACAATCTGTTAATTACCAGTTATATTACAATTAGACGATTAGATCATTTAATTTATAAGTAAATTATTATAAGTAATTCATAGGGCAGAGTAGCGCTACCAAACTTTTTGAGGAGAGCATATTTTGAAAGAGTTGTGGATTTTTCTAGATAACCAATTTTTTTTCTAGGGTTGGATTCTGGAACGTTTTATTCGATGGGAAGGATGAGCATCACTGTAATGGGTCTTATTTGTATGGTTGGCTAACACATCAATGGGTAGTTATAGGTGATGGCCTAGATGATGAGGTTGATGGCGAATGCCCCCCTCTGAAGAATTATACAATTCTTCTCTTCTATAGAGTGCTAGAAAAAGTGAAATCGGAAGAGGTTTAAATCATAAACATTTATACGTGGTGTAATTTATTCCATGTTAACCATCGTTCGCTAGTTTGAAAGTTCCTCCAAATAGTTTTGCAACAAAAAAAAAAAAAAAATATATCGTTAATTCTGAAAAAAAATAATGTCTTATATAAAAATTTGTAACTCAAACAATTTGATGACACTATCCGCGCCATACTAAGTCATTCTAGGTGCTGCCTTCATTCACTGAATTCCATTTCCTAAATTCCCGTTTAGGCTACAAAGGGTTTTTCCCGGGCCGAGGGAGAGGGCGGGGGATTAGACAGGGTAAGAAATTCCCTCGAGCACCGTAATTATTTTATATTTTAACTCGTAATTATTTTTTTAATTCTTGAAGGAAATTAGTCGACTGTTCTACATATCATGGGTGATAAATATTCAGGACGCAGTCTTTTTAATTTTTTTTAAATTTATGCCAACGTATCAAACCAAACATGTGGGTCATCTTCAGGACGTGGTTTGAGCACTGAGGGTACTCATGTACTCGAAATAGCAGTACTAATTGAAATAACTCGCTCGGCCACCACGCCCCTTCTAGTTGTTGATCATGGTGGTTGGGAATTCTTCCCTAACTTTTCCCTCCCACAGACCTAATGAATATGTTAGCCAGAAATCGACAACAATAACAAGGAGGTATCGTATCAAATTATCCGCCTCTGGTTGTAATAACCGGTTTATACATCCCCAGTGGGCACGAGTTCCAGAAGAACGCGGAGTTACGTCACACTCGCCTACAGGGTGTCTAAGTTAACTCCTATTGTTCCAACGCTAGTGGCCAAGTTTTCTTCGGTAATTCATTTATAAAGTTTAATATCTGTAACTTGGTAGAGAGACCTGATTACACCGGGGCCGAGGTACAGGGTTCGGCCATTATTCCCATCCCTCTACACCTGTTATTCCTTTAAACAAGGGATTTAATGACTCCGTAGCGTCCGGTCATTACTGATTCATGGAATTTTTCAGGAAACGAAAGAGCGAGAACTCTGTAAACTTTAATTGAAATTTTCAGCAACGAACCATGCTAAAAGGTTACTTAAAATTCAATACTTCAGAAATTGTTTAATTAATTAAAAACAAAATGTTAACGTTTTAAATTTCGACTCTTTTCTACTTTAAGCATACCAGTGAATTTTTAAAGTGCTTTTCCATTCGGATTAAAATATTCAAGAAACTCGAAATCGGACCGACACACAGTTAGCCAGGGAAATGTTCAGCATTTTATGTTCCTTGTAATAAGCTTTAACCAAATTGCATCTCAACTCGAGGCAGTGTTAGAGAGACAAAACGGAAAAAATAGTGTCGAAAACCAACTAATATCGAGTTTTAATGAAGATATGGACTAAAATATCTTGAAACTAAAAATCGGGCCTGCATATGGTGAGCAAGGTAGATGTTCTGCATTTCTCTTAGTAATGAACTATTATTCAAAATAGTATCTCAACGTGATGCCGTATTAGAGAGGCGAAAAAGGAAAAAGATGGCGTCACTGATGTGCTTAAAGTAACAAAGAGCACAGATTTCTTAATGAATTCAATTATTAAGGGACAAAAATAAAAATTCCAAATCCCCTAACGTTTCACAAATTTTATAGAACATGTAATAAACAAACGGTGACAAACAGAGGATATCAATATAATGGAATAAGCAAAGTAATAAATAATGTAATAATAACGGATGACGAAATGGGGTTTTGAATAATATAAATAAAAATTGGAAGAAATAAGAAGCAAATAAAAAAAATAAGACGTTAAGCTGATGTCATGATATGGTCCGTAGAAATGAAACACTCATAAAATAATAAGTATAAAAATTTTATAGAAGAATAAAAAGGAAATAATAAAATATTGGTTTTAGCTTTAGTGGCATTTATATATAAATATATATATAAGAATCGCCTCTATTCCTGAAATTCTCATCTTCCTTATATTTATTTTCTTTACGACACTAATATGTATAATAAAATATCTTTAAATGTTCGTATCTGGAATTAAAATCATGGTCAAATTAGTAACCAAATTTTAATTGTTACTATAATTGATATTAATTAATTGTTTATATTCTTTTAATCTTTAATGTCCCCTAATGTATGTATTTACTCAGAGTTATATTTAGTGTAGGGGTTTCCTTTGAGATGTACCAAACCAACCACAAACGGAGAAGCGTACCGGAGCTGCAACGGACCCATTTGACAGAATCAACTCGCGTAACGCAAAGCAATAATGGGACCTAAATCAGACGCGAGCCTTCAACCGGGCTCCCCATTAGCTCCAGTACGATGGCCTCAAGGAAATGTAGGCAGTATGTCGTTTGTAATCGGCGCGAGTGAGTCCACTCGAGGCATTTTAATTCCGCTGACCCTCGCATCAATCCTGCTCCGGAGGACCCTTTTTACATCATTATAATCCTACTTTTTTTTTATTCTATCGTTTATGGATAATATGAATTATCATTTAATACGTATATTAACATGATTCGCTGTAGTTACGTAAGAATAAATAGTAATTACATTACTAAAATATTTAAAAAGAGATTTAAAATTATTTAAAAGATTTCATGGATGGAAAATGAAGTTACAAAAGAAAGAGATCAAACAAATATATATATATATATTAAATATATATATATATATATTATATATATATATATTTATATATATAAATAATATATATAATATATTATATATATATATATTTATATATATAAATATATATATATATATATTTAATTAGTGACAACAGTAAAATGATTTCAAATTGGATTATGAATACATCCCAACCTCCATATGTGTTTTTTTTTGGTCAAGGATAAATCAGTTGTTTTAACATGCAAATAATAAAACAAAAATGTTAAATGCCCTGAGGAATATAAAAATGAAATAGCATTAATATAACCCTCAAAACATTTTTTTTAATATAGCATCACTCGACACCTGATTTCCTAAAAGAAGAAACCTGGCTCTAATAAGATGCGTTGTTATTTGTTAGATACTTATTATATACAACACATACAAAATTAAAATGAATAAGCGTAGCACAAGAGGTATTTTATACTAAATAACTATCTGCTTAAGATTATAATTTTTAATAAAATAAAATGAGTTAATCCCTTTAAAATTTTTAAATTATGCGTTTTAAAAAATCGAATACAAAAATCAGTCCATCCGTGGTGTTTCTCAAAGATCAATGTGCCGAATGTTATCAGATTTTCAGTCCAGGTTATTAGTCGCTCGAGGATGATCCACGGAACTCGACATTACCATCTGACCATTCGTTTCAAAATGGTGACCGAATAACCTGTAACGCTGTATATAGACTGTGGAGCCTCAACAGCAGCAAGGATTTTAATGAAATGCCTAAAATCTTATTTAAATTTATATGCACACTACTCTGAAGAGAAGCTGGATAAAAGGCTAATACGAAAGAACAGAATTGTATTTACCTATATATTAAAAAAAGACACATTTATTATTCGGAATATGTTGTTTTGATTTGGGATTACTCGAAAACATTACCTTTGCCGCGAATTTTAAGAACATTTGGAAAAAAATTTAGTTGTCGGTATTTCATATCGGAAAATAAAAAAGAAAACTAAGAAAACTGGACAATATACTCGCAAAAACTTTTCATTTTTCTCTGATTAATAAGGAAAGTAGTATGGAATATCACTAATTTGTACATAATTATTAGTAAATAATAAACCATTGCAAGTAATAATTTCTGTTGTTTTTTTTTAAGAATTATTTAAAAAGTTTATCATTATTTTTTATTTTTGTTCCGATCCGGTTCCATAGGAAGAGGCTTAAAGAAAGAACGTTCCTTATCTGTTCTTTTGTCAGCTACCTGTCTTCTTCAGAGCCGTTCCTATCGATCCCATGATAAACGAATCTGCTATTACCCCAAGGGGGAGGGGAGGGAATAAGCATCAGGAAAGCATTAGTAAAGATTAGAAATCCTTATCGACAGACGGTAGATAAATTAGCGCCAAGCTCGGTTGGAGTTTTTAAGCCACTGAAAAAAAAATGGGGTAGAAACAAATTTTTAGCGCAGTTTGAGAAACGTTTACGATGCGGAACTGACTAGTAGAAAGTAAGCACCTTATAAGCGGATATAATTTTTTTTTTTTAATTTAATCTATTCTGCTTTCCCTTAGAGGAAAATGGCAGAGAAGTTCTCACAGTTGGAGTTATATATCAAAATAAATACTATTAAAAAAAAGTTTAAAATAACTCTCTCTTGAAATAATTGAACACATCCTCATACCTTAAGTCAATTCGTTCTCAGGTACATGTTCCTTGTTAACTACATAATATTTAAATATTATATTGACTCAATTGACTTGAATTAATAAAATAAATTCGATTTTTTAAATAAAATGACTGAAATTTTAATATTCTAATAACTATGATACGTAATTAATTTAATCACTTGTTTATCGCAGAAACAATTTTCTTCCACAAGTTATAAAAATATATATAAAGCAGGGTCAGATTTTAACTGGTCATCTATATAAATAAAAATGTAAACGTTCGTTTTTTCCAAACCGCTTATATCCGAAACTTCTTTGACATAACGTTTCTATCGGATTCAGGAGCGTTTTTATACCAATTTAATTGCGTGTCCCTATAGGCTGTAGCGCCTATAGGATAAAGATTTTTCATTGAAATCCTTTTAATTTATGTATTCAACATCCTTTCCCGAAAAGAGTATGAAAAAAAAAAACGATGGACTCTGAACTATATTCAAAAAGTACTTTTTTATGGATTCCCAACAGTTAAAAAAAAATCACTAAAATCGGACGATCTGGTGCAAAGATACAACGTTTTAAACATTTAGTTTTTTTTTTTTTTTTTTTTTTAAGATTTAGAGACGGATTGCTTCTCACATAAGACAGTTATATGTTGCGTATTCTCGAGTTAGAAACCCCTTCAATCTCTTATACCTATACAAAGAATGAAACAAAAAAATATTATATCACATTTTCAGAAGTATTGTGAAATATAATATATTAGAAACATCTGCTTTGTTTTTTATTTCTTTTTCTATTCAACCAGACTAAGCCACTATAACGCATCTAATCAAGTAGAAAAATACAGCTGTATATTATTTTATTTTTTTGTATAATCTCACGAAAAAAAAGCGTATATTTTATAATACTACGAATAATAAACATAGCTAAAAGAATAAACGACTGAATTTACTTATACACCTAGAGAAACAAAGATAATTATTGCAAGCTACCAAACAAGTTTTAATATTATCAACGAACTTCTCATTTTAGCTGGAATAACTCAGCCATTAAAATATGTCAGCCAAAGTTTGACTTTAGCCGTGCGTTGGTTGAATAACACACCTGATATCATTCACAGGGGAGAACAGAAACAACTATAAACCCTACTCATCCATTCAAACAGGAGAAAACTCTACAGAAATCTGGATTGTTGCTTACTGCAACAAAAGTTTCATATATCATTTGAGATATTCAATTTCGTATAAATAGGTGTTCCGTTGAAGGCATGGTGTGCAGGCTATATTATTTTTTATCAATGAGGCCACACAATAAGTTTCAGAAACAGTAAGAAAATACATCAATGCGGATAGAACACAAAACCACAACCTGGAAGATGAATAAAATCAATTCAAATTCTTCTTTGAAATGAATCAAGAAGAGAATAGAAGCAAACTTGCTACAGATGTTTACGAATGAAACAGGATCCCACGAATTTATAAACAAATAACAATAAACACCGCAACTTTTATCGTTAGTTAGACCAACCATTCCGTTTTACTTCAAATAAACTCAGAGATATAAACACAGTGGAGAAAAAAATCCAGATCACGACGAGAATTTTCAACTTTAAGCCAGAAAGAAAAAAAAATGCACTTACTAAGGCTGATTTTTACTGACATAGGTAAGAAAATATGTTAACAAATATTTCTATTTGTAAATTTCTCACATAAAAACAAAATTAAATGAATGAATTATATAAAATAATATACAGTGAATCTCTTTCTTTAAAGGACAATTTCAAATATATTGCCGATGGCGTATATATTTTTTTTTAAAAACGCCTCTACGATAATGGCACTTCTCTCGTTAAGGGACAAAAAATAAAATATGGATTCATGGCGCAAGTTGAAAAATATTTTTGATAATAATTTCATATAATGTAGAAGTGATAAGAAAAAAAGTTGAACTATATTATCTCTCCTGTAGTAACTCTCCTGAACTAGGAAACAGTTTTAAAAGAACTTTAAAAATATAATGTTGTTTCTAATAGTTGAGAATACTCTTTTATAAAGAAATTTTGGCTGACATGTAAAAAGTAAAATCTGAAGCACAAAAAAAATTATATATATACATCATGATTTAAAGCTCAGTGTGTGATTTCTATTTGGATATTGATGGTGACATGGTAGGATGTAGAGAATGATTAAATTTTTTGTTAACTACTACCACCAATCCGTCAACCTGTAACGTATGCTCCTGGCAGTTTGTCATTACGCTGACATTTGACAAGGGTCCAGTTACACTTTGTCAAGTATCTCATACATTTACTCTTTTTGCGTTTTTTCAAGGTACTATTAAAACTTGAAAATAAAAAAAATCTATAAATAAGTTAATATTTAAACGTTGATTCGAACTATAAATAGTAATAATTTAGAACAGACTATAAAAAATGCAGTCAATCAATGTGATTACGTCTGAACACACCACCTTATTAAAAAGAATGACTGCATTCATATTTTCGTAGAAATGCGGTCACTAATAAGATGGAGAATTGATGTCAATGGAAAAATATCGATGGGTGACAGATTAAAATTAATAATAATTAACCCATGATTTGACAATATTTTAACAAGTGATTACAATTATCAAAGACTGGGAATGAAGTTCAAGTATTGAAAGTCGCCGAAAAAGCCTTGAACTCGAACTTTCAAGTTAAGAGATGATTGGAATGAATCAAGGCTGTAAATCAAAATCAAGGAAACGTTTTTTAATAGAGCAACAATGCGGAATGCATCTACTCAAACCAATGGTCAAGTCAATCATAAATACTAAATTAGCTCATAAAGAACAACTCCATGTTAAATAATGAAATTCTTCAATTAATTAAATAATTAAAATAGAAAATAAATAAATACGTCAAGGTAAGAAGAAAGTTGTTCAACTCTTAAGTTTTCCGACCTTCCAGAAGCACTTCAGGGAAAAGAAAGAAAAAGAAATGGGAGTGAGTTTGACATCCATCCCTTTTACGTTTATATTCGAAATTATATTTATTATTATTAATCGACAATAGAATATTAAATTTTATTCTTCAATAATTATTATATTAAGATGTTTTTCGGTTTAAAATGCCATATAATTAATAACCATTAATTAACTGCAATATATTAAATCGCGAATAAATAATATACAAACTATTATGTTCCTTATAGTACAAACAAAAATTAAAGTTTATTTGTAATTCTTAAAAAAAAATTAATTGCACATTAAAAAAAATAGGAACAGTTCATAATTTGGGAAATGTGATTTTTTTTACTTATCTAAAATAAGATATTTTTTTCCCGTATCAGTAATGTATATTTTTCAAAAGAGATGTAATTTAAAAGGAATTAGAGATATCTTTAGCATTCATCATTATACATGAAATACACAAATTTAATTGATATAAATTAGAAAGTTATATTATTATTATGCACATGAATTTAATTACTAAAATCAGTTAGATTGGATGTTCAAGAATACAAATTTCCATCAATATCGTATTTCAACCAAGTGAAAAGGAATTATTTTATTCATTTGCAATAAATTATAGCTGATAGCTAAAATAAAATTTGTATTAAATGCTCTCGACGAAAATCAGTAGCGCATTAAGAATTGGTTTTATTTTTTTTCGGAGTAGGGCAGGGGCTATTTTTTTCTTTGCTTGTTCTTATGTAAATTATTAACAATTATTACTAAGACAACAATGCTGTTTTTAGTGATACAATTTTTAATGTTTTATCTTGACAATGTGCTTTGTTCAGAACGTGCTGTGATTGCTGATTTGTCGCAGATCACACATAGAAAATAAATATGGATAAATTAAAAAAAAAAATCTATTTTGAGAGAGGGTTTCTGCCAGAAAACCACTCCTCTGGTAAATCCACCAGTGATGAGAATTAACACTTGCAATGGACAGAAGAAATGACGACGCTATCTGTATTAGAATTAATTACTTATATTAAGTGAAAACAATGCAGTTGCTGAAATTGAAACGCAGCTCCTTACCAAGCTAAACATCTTAACAAGGTACATAACAATTTATCTCTGAATAAATTTAATTAATTTCAGGATTACGAACTGAGCTTGATGCTTCTATAGGCAGCTTTCATTACCAGGGCCAACAAGTCCAATCTGGAGGATTCACCTCGATCTTTAAGTTATTCATGACAACCCTCGTTTCTAATGGTCTACTTATTCAAATAATTTCATAACAATATATAACATATTATAAATAAACTTTAATAAAAAAAAAGTATATTAAAAAAAAATTATGGGCAATAATAACGAAAGGTTTTTGCGCTGTATTCAATGACAAAAAGAGCTGACTCAAAAGGCGATGTTCCAATTTCACAATAACGCCGATACAACAATAATATTGCAGAGTAGGACGGATGGACGGAATGGAAAAAGGAGTGGAAAGAAGAAGAAAAAAACGACGGTCAGCACTTCCCTGAATAGCTGATGGATATTAATTGGAGACCGAGCAGTCCAACAACTGAAAACTACAAGCTTGATCCATTAATTTCTATTTAAACTTCCATCAAATTTTCGCTCGACTTGAAGCTCTAAATAAGCAGAGCATTAACAGATTACATTCTGAAGTCAATATCATATTTGAAAAAATGGTTACTTTAAATTTACATGTTCTCAAAATTTATTTATTGTCATAAATCTGATGACAACCAATGGAATTCATAAAATAAAAATAAGCTAAGGTCACATAAATTCCAACACACCGCAACTCAATTTCCCATGAAAATAAGTTAGGTAATTTTATTCTTTTTTCGACCCCTAACAGATGGTAACAATGCAATTGTCAAATATATGTTCCCAACATATATAGATATTAGTTAGTATATATATCGTCGGCACCATGTTGAAATAACGAATGTGCAACATTAAGAGGATTCACATTCATAACTTTGAATTGTTGCCGATGATATGTCAATTATATGTTTCTAAAACATATAGTATAGATATTTAAATATGACATAAATTATAAGATCATTCGACAGAAAAAAGGCAGTTTATCTGTATCTCTTATTCTCCTGTCAAGGAGAATTTAATGAGCTGACGTTAGAACTTTTGTGATTATATCTTCAAGATTGAAACCAGTTTTTAAAATATTTTGGGATCAAATATCCTTGGAAAAATATTAGAACGAAAAAGTTCAAAAAAATTAAATAAAAATAAATGAATTAAATAAACTTATGGACTATAAGTGAAAACCATAGTCCTCGTTAAAGTATCACATACAATTTCTATATACCATAATACATAGATATATATTACAATTAACTGTCAAGTACAATAAATTTATATACATAAACAATGCAAACAAGGATAAATATAAAAGCGTAATTTCCATTTGACTTAAACAAAGCCTTTGGTTCAGTTCATTACTTTGTCGAATATAAATGTGAATCGGTATGGAATAAATTTTCAAATAATACTAATACAGATAAATATTTAAGGTTTTAATTCAACATCTTTTAATTGTTTAACGATTGGGATAAAAAAATATAGCTTAGGTTTAATTTAACAGTTTAATAATCCTTTTTTTTTTAAATCTGTAAATACAAATTTTATTATTTGTGTCAATGATTAGTTTGGCAGCAGATATTATCTTGTATATGTGTTTATACGTTAAAATATAGGTCATAAAGAAATGGTTTGTACAATATACAATTATTGAAATTTAAATGTTTACAATTTTTATAAAAAGGTGTAGATATGTAATAATTAAGTGCTGCGAATTTTGTTTTAACGACTTAAGAACAATACTAGTTTTTGGAAACATTTCGAAAATTACTTGTTCGAAAAATGTGTATAGATTTAAATTTTTTAATTGCATACTAGGGGAGCAGTTCAAAGTTTGTCATTCATTGTTGTGATATACCAACTTTTCTCCTTTTTCAGGACACGCTTATAATAATTTTATTTTAGACCTTTGCAAATTTATTTATAGTAGGCAGATAGGAGGCCACAAAGATAATTTGTTACTTAATATAGCTAATTTTATTTTCTCATAAGGGGATATTGAATGTCATATTTGACATATCCCTCTGACAATTATGTACAGGTAGTTAGTTAAACTGTGGTTGTACCATAGCTTCCTTGAGCTGCTTGGGGCAGATGGGGCTTAGCCACGAATGGATGTTGATGAACCTCTTCGGGAGAAGCTTCATTGTCGTCCTGGAATGAGTTATGACAGGTATGGCCGAACTCGGAGGAGACTCCGGACTGGACGGGGGATCGACGAGGCCGACCCCCGTGCTGAGGGGGCCGGGGCTCTCCAGCACTACCATAACACTGTCACTTTGTCAACAACAACAACAACAACAACAAACAACAAAAACAAACACGTCACTCCATCAGCCGTGGCATAGTTGACTCGCGGGACCCGAGACAAGACTGCACCGCCTTCTATCCCCCACCACCGACCACCCCCACTCCGCCATCGCTGTCCCCTCCCCCCACGAGTCGGTTCATATTTATGCAATCACATTCCCCTCTATTCCATAAATATTTTTCAATTTGCCCACGGAATAAACATGGTTTACCTGCCCTATATATAGGACACATTGACAGAGTACGATAGGCGTATCTACTCAGTAGCCAGGAAACTGACCTGGTCTCATCCCTAAGGCATTCAAACAAGAACATTACAATCTTAACGTAAGCGAATTTTCTCTAAGGTTTGATTTTAAGTGTTTTTAATCATCAACGATGTAGAATAATCAAATCAGGATTTTCAGAGAAAAGTTCTTTTTTAATTGCAAAAATATAAAAATTCCTGAAGATACACCATTCTAATTTTAAAATTTTTAAAAAACAAACGGTTTAACATTTTTAAGAAATCAATTAATTCTGTTTGTTACTAATGCTGAGCATTAATACTAAAAACGTTTGTTGTTAAAAAAAAGTTCTAATTAAATAAATGTTGATCTAGGTATAACTAAACAAGTTCCCACTAATTTTTTTTTGTTATGTTTATTTTTTTTTCGGTGGGCTTCTGTAAAACCAAAATGTAGGAATAAGGCGAAACTTTATGAAAATTAAGCGTTAATTATGAAAAGTATACGATTTTCAAAAACAATTCAACCTTGACTACTTAATTCCACTTTTGATTTATTTAACTTTTCGGATTTTTTCGCTCAGATAGACTATTATCTATTATATCGAAAAGTTAACATTAACTTTAATTTGAATAGGTTTAATTTTTCATGAAAAAAAAAAATTAATTTGACTATAAAATCCTATTTATTAATACATTATCAGTACATAATACTTACAACTAAACGAGCAAATTACAAATTTTCTAAACGTTGCTGGTCGAGATTAAAACGGATGGAAAACAAGATAAAAACAGAGAGGCCATGAATAATCATTCATTCATAATTAACGAGTTATGATTGAGTATCGACCATGAATAAAACCGACACAAGAAGATCTTGAGAAAAAAAAATATGTCTTTGACATAACATCAACTTGAGCAATTTGAATACATTTTTAAGACCGAGATTATAAGGTGACAGCCAAAGTTTAATAATAGCAAGCATAGATAATTAATATGTATACACAATTTTTTTAGTATATTTGGCTATTATTTTTTTTTTTATAGTAATAGTAGGTTTTAAAAAGATTTTAATTTTTTTTCTATGAAATCATCTTTAAAATAACAAAGCTTGATTAACGAGAAAATATGAACGCTGATAGTTAATGATACTAAAGATAATAAGGCTATATATTTTTAGCTAGTAAATGTTTCGGATTTACCCTTCAGAAAATTAAACTTGAAAAAAAAAAAAAAAGATGAGGATAAACCGAGATAAAGCTGGCAACTTTAAAAAAGGGTGATCAAAGCGACGGCAATGAAGAGAAAATGTACAACTAAGGTATTTTTTTATTTATTAAAATCTCCGCAATCTCTCGTCCCCTTAGAGATAATTAAAGTTTAAATTAGTAGGAGGAAAAGAATACTTTGTGATCTAATGAAAACATCATCAAAGCCAAGCCTTTATTAAAGCGGCCAATAAAGCAGTAAAAATGATGAAAGGATCGTCAAAGGGGGCTATGCTATATACCGGTATTTAACAAATAAAAATTTAACAGTTCGATAAAATCTTCCACCCATCATATATACTCTAGAATATGAGGAAGTAGACGGAATTACTGTATCGCGGATTTCAAACTGATTTAAAAAGAAACTTGAAAACTCAAGATCTGTAATTTTTTTTTCCCAAGTTTAAACAGATAGAAAAAATTAAAACTAAGATGCTAAGTTGTTTAAAGATTCCCCTAATAATTATTATACATAAACAATAATTTAACGAAATTACTTTGATAGTACAGATAAGTTCTAAGAGATCCTGATTTCACGCGAAAAAAGTGAAAAATTTCATTTATTTATTTTTTATGTTGAAAGCCGAAAAAAAAAATGGTCAAAATATTTACAAATTGCTTTATAATAAACTATAATATTTCTTTCAAATGAGAGTTAAAACCATTTTCAGGGTGGCTGATTTTTAAGCAGCTGAAAGTTCTATTTTTCATAAAGTCATTGATTGATTATTCTCGATTTTCGTTTGTTTGCTTTCTGTATAACAGACACCCCACTTCTGGAAAACTTGATTAATAATATTTAATTTCATATTAATTAAGTCCATGAGATTTTTCGAAGAATAAGCCGTGCTTCGTAAAAACAATTACGTGATTTTTTTTTCACAGAGTTTCAAATTGTTTTAACAAATTAATTTTAATAAATGATTTTAAAAAATCATTTATTAATTTTTTTTGACGCGATCCTATTACATACAATTTGTATTAAATTCATCATCAAAATATTTTATTAAAAAGTCTTTTTCAAAAGATAAATATTTAAAAATGATCACCTTATGTGATAGTGCTCCTGTGCTTTGTATACAGATCTCTAATAAAAAATAGTCAATAAATCTTTTCCTTTTTATAGGGCATGTCTCAAAACGTTACAAAAAATGTATAATACAGTAATTTATATGTTTCTACTGGAGTAGAAATCATACTTGAGTTCGTGGTACCAAAGCGTGACGTAGGGTAGCTTTGGAGCAATGAACTCTCAGAACTTCTGAGTCATTTTCTCACTTCACAACACAGCGGCCCATGACCAAGATGGTGTTACTAATTTTAATTTCTAAGAGAAAATGGGTAACTGCTATTTATTATAATCATTAGATACTTAAAGTAAAATACAATTCTAGTTTTAATTGTCTTTAAACTAATAAATACTACTGTTTTTTAAAAAATAAAACCGTGGCATGAAATCTAAAAGATGTGTTGTTTTTTTTTTTTCTAAATCCTACTCCAAAAATTATTCAGTTAATTAAAAATTTTAATTTACCACCGTCATACAGGTTTTAAAAACATTTTTTTTTTAAATTGGATTATCTACTTTGAATTTTTTTTCAATAACATTTTCAAAATCATGTTTACTAGATAAAATTCTCCCCAGTTGAGCTTCATTTCACGCTTCAATTTTAATAAATGTTTTCATTTATATGATTCATATGCCATATTATCTATTAGTAGTTCTATAGAACTATTTTGTTCTCCTTTTTTAAATAACTTAAAGGAGTTTCGAACAGATCATGAATATTTTAATTCGTAATAAAATAACTTCAAATAAAATTTTGGGTTGAAATGTATAATAAGAGGGTCATACAAAATAAAATGAAATTTAAGAAATAGGTAATTATGCACAAGTATTTTTTATACCACTTCGGTTTCATAAAAAGTCATAAATTATTATTATTATTATTAATTGAAAAAATAAAACTCATATCAGAGAGTTAAGGCTGAAAACCTTAGCTAATTACTACTATTCCTAACTAAGGTAAATATTAGTAAATATTGGAAATTTATTATTGAGGAGATCTATAAAAAATGCATTCCGTAGTTGCAGGAAAAATATCAAGAGGAATTTGGTGAAAGAGGATGTTCAGTTCGGGAACTTGGGTTCGGGAGTACAGGATCAACTCCACTTTCAACCGCTAATTTTTGGATGGGCTAGGCGTGCAAAGAAGGCATCTGGAGAGCATGGTATAATATATTATTTTAGACTCTTTAGGAATCCTACATCATCATCTATACTAATTCTGGCCACTTCCAGATAACCATTACGAACAATATGAGAAGGAAGAAAATTATAGAAGCAAGTTAGTCGACTGTTCTATATAATCAGTGCCGACGTTTCAACCCAAACATGTGGGTCATCATCAGGGAGTGGTCCGAGCACTAAAGATATTCAAGTACTCAGTACTAGTATTAGTACGCCGACACTAATAAAACCCATATAATGACTGCGTCCTGAACATTTACCTCCCACGAAGAAAGTTATAGTAAAGAATAAATAAATTATAACATTCGGTACTTTGGATGATGATCCCTCAAAACTTCATATTTTTTGTTCATTCCCATTCCGTATTATCTAATTGGACTGATCGGTATATGCTGGGTCATTTAGCAACTCAACATAGTTAAGTAGATATACAGCTTTATTGTACTTCTCTGTCTAATACGTATAATAATTTGAATCCAAACCTTTAATAATGCCACTTATATATAAAACTCTGAGGCTCCGTACTATTAATTGTAGTATTAATTTTTAAAAAAAGGACAATATTTAGTTATTTCTATAGCATGTTATCTCGATTATATATTATAAGATTGTATATATGTGTATATATATATATATATATATATATATATATATATATTCTATAAATTATAGATATAATTATAGAAATAATAAATATATAAATTCTTCTTATTAAATCTGCTGTTTAACAGTGCCCTTTTTCCATTTTATTCAAAGTATATTTTAAATATGCCGGACGAGAATATTGCAAGACTGTAATATTTGCGTTATTACTTTTTGCTCTATTGAGTATATATATAATATATATATATTAATATATATATATAATATATATATATATAATCTTATAATAAATAATATATATATATTAAAGATTTCTTTATTGTGTTAGAATAATAAAATAATAGAGCAAAAAGTAATAACGCAAATATTACAGTTTAACAGCCTTGCAATATTCTCGTCCGGCATATTTAAAGTATACTTTGAATAAAATGGAAAAAGGGCACTGTTAAACAGCAGATTTAATAATAAGGATGGAGCGTTAGGAACAGCTGGCTGTAGCAGTTACAGTATTGTTGATACAAAGTTAGAGAACTATAAAATAAGTCGCTCACCTTGAATGCATAATCTTCCTTCTAAGCACGGCGCTGAGAATTCGCCTTTATGCAAGCAAGCCTCACTCAACGGCTTAACAATGCACGGCGGATCTTAAAGAGCATAAATCAACAATACGTAGGAAAATGAATCCGTCTAAAATGGAATGAATGCTTTCTTTGCTCAATTTATTCCGTCAACTATGTTTCATTTTAGTTTCCAAATATACAAGTTCTTACTTTATACATCATACATACAAACCGTATGTCATTCGGAAGGATTTGAGGTAAAAACGGGATCGGGGAAAGTTTCCTTTATCGTCATTAGAAATTCGTCACGCTTTTTCTACGAAGATTGTACTTCGTGGTAGCTTTTGATAAAACCCTTGTTATTCATTCACCCTCCCTATTTTTCAAGAAAAAAAAAAAATCTAGCGTGAAAGTGCTGTAACAATTGAGTGTGTGTGAAATAAAAACCTACAATAACAACGATCTAAGTAACAAAATTAACAATTTATTCAATATTTGGTTATAGAAAAAATGAATATGAGTAGGTAACTATAGGAGTTGATCTATCAAATAGGAATAACCTAAAAACTATAAATCCGAAAAAAAACAAAAAAAAAACAGATCATTAAATGTAACTGCAGCAACATTAAAAAATCAGACCAGGCCGAGTTGTTTCATTGTTCCGTCAAAACAAAAAAGTATGGTGGATTGAGTGGCAATTTAGCCGTTAGATGAATTTATTTTTAATGAACCTCTAAAATGGGTTTCCTAAAAGACAGAAAATTTTTTCCCTATATTTTATTTGTTTGACTAATTTTGTTTCCTAATTTTTCTTTTGACTAGTACCATTTATTTTTAGTGTAGTATTGGTTCTTTTTAATCATTCCGTTTAATATAATTTAAGGTTTATTTTGTTTAGAAAATAATTTTTCCTTTTTTGTCAAAACAGTTCATCAACTTTTAAGTTACTTTCTATCGCAATTTATCCCCATGCCTATCATATTTTTTTCAAATACAGATTAAAGAGTCATTTTTAAGCGTTCACTAAATTACCGACATGAAACAGGCATTATTCGATAACTAAGGTACAAAAGTCGGAAATCCGAAGATTATTCAAAAGTCCTCGTCAAATGTCGTGACTAAACAAGCTTTCACGTCATCAAACATGTATCATTTATAGGCACTGTTCATAATTGTTTATTATTTATATCAAAGTTATTCAGTAGGCGAAATAGATAAATTCTCTAGGAGACTGCTTTAGCTAGCCAATAATACGAGTATAAAGAAGGGGTCTTAATTAAAAATAATAACAGTTTGATTCGTCCTTTCTACAGAAGTTGCATAACAATATAATTTATAAATATTTTTTAATACGTCGATTACAAACACATCAACTTGCCTAAACCTTACTATAAAACTCTAATGACCTTATAACAAAGGTATTCGTGATCCCGATTTCTTTTCAACAAGCGGTTGTAACGCTTGTTAGAGAATTTTCGTGCCGACGGATTTAGCTAGATATCTATGTTTATTGGCAATTCAGGTCAATATTTTTAGACTTGATTGCTAAATAGGATCCAATTGAATCAAGGTTATATTTAATAATGTTTTACCCGAGAAGTAATAATATTCTATATCGTAAAATTTGGGTACAAAATAAAAACCAGGATGATACAAGGTGGTGAAACACAGGAAAAACACATGAGCGTCGCCTGAAGGTCACGGAGGAAGGAAGAGATGGCACCTTTACAAGAAGGTAGAGTACAGGAGGAATATAAAGAGCGGGATCGATGGTCGATGGAAGCCGGCTGGCGGCGAAGGAACGAAAGGTCGCCGCGAACAATAGAAATGTCAGCCCCAAAGGCTACCCTAATTATCATTTTGTCCTTTAGGCCCTTTAAGGTCTTTCACACCGTCCGTTATGAACCGGTGAGCCGTCAAATTGTGTCGGTCCCGTAGCAAATGCTAGGCCAAATGAGGGTTGTCGTAATATCGTGACCTGCTAATCATCCGTAATTATTGTACCGCTTTCAACAATAGCGATCTGAAGGAAGAATTAATGAGAAACAAGAAAAATGGATCCCATGAAAAGTTTTTGATGTCGATCGACCGACGTATCCTACATCTTCTGGACTCCGATATGATACCTGACATTAGTCTAGGAATAAATCAAACGGTAGGACTAAAGCAGTCATCATCCGATATCCAGGGGTTGAGTATCGTGCAATCTTCCCTCCACGTAGGACCGACTTCCATCAACTATCAGGACTTAAATTTGAATCAACAATTGAACCTTTCAGGAAATCGTACTATCCTATTATTTCACTCCTACCCCTTCCTCATATCCGAATTATAGTTCCAATGCAACGAGTCGACTTCATGTAGTACAGCAGAATTAGAATTGAATTAAATAATGTTACAATTCTTTATTAAAAGCTACATAATCCGATCGAGAGATTTGATAGCGTTAACAGCACATTAGCATAAACATTTCAATAGCACCATAAATAATTTAAACTGTCGGATTAAAAGCAATGCGCAGTATTCATAAATGATAGGGATGAATGAGTATAAGACTCTCAGATACTAGGATGACTAGGCCTAAAATGATTCAGCATTACGCAGATTCTCAGCCGTCAAACGGTGAGTCCTAATTTCAATATTATGAGACTGTAGGATGTTTCAATATATAATTTATGTGCATTTTAAAATATTAATATTTCTTTGATAAAACGATGATGTGACTTTTTTTTTTTTTTTAATTTGAGTCTCTTAACGTTAAATTGATATAATATAGTCATAAAGTAAATTAAAAATTGGCGTGATGGTATCAAGGTAAGCATTTTGATGAAATATCGTTCATTGTGAAGAATAATTTAATAGTATTTAACGTATGCGTGTGTGTTTTTTTTTTTTTTTTTGCTTAGTTTTAATTCTCTTATTTTTTTTTAGGTTATTTTATTTTATTATCTATTGTAAATACTTTGGATTATTATTTTGTTTCTATTTATTTTATTTTTTTGTACATATAGAGTGAATGCCATCTACCTCACTATAACCAATGTCCAACAGACAGATTGTTGTAATACTCAATAATAAAATGATAAAAAAAAGTAGTATTTAACAAAAAAAAAAACAACAATTTTTCTTCATAGTAACCCATTAATTTAGTTAATTAAGTTTTTGATGGCCATAACCTAAAACTAATATTTTTTAGGTATTGTATACCATAATGACAACTTAAGTAACGATTTCATACCGGAATATATTTTATTTTAGTACATTTACAGTTAACACACAATCGCTTATTAGTTGTCGATATAGTTTAGGTGAAGGCGTATTTATAACTGAAAAAAAAAAGTATTAAGTTTAAATAATAAAAAAGTTAAAGTACAGAAGATTGGTGATGTTAATAATAAGACACCTCAGACGAAACAGCATATCTGTGGAACAAGCAGCTCTTATTAATCACTATTTCCGTAAAGGTGCTCCAAAGAACAAAAGTGGATAAGAAACGATAAGGGGACGGAAATGATAAAAACACAATCAATAAATGAGTCATCTGAAAGATATGAAGTCGAACATGTGATCGATATAAACATAGAAATTAAGTTTATACTTTTAATAGTTGCTTCTTCCGGAACTAATCGAATGCGGTAAGACAAAGTATTTAAATGTAATTTCTTTTTTAAAGATATATTTCTTTAAATAAAAATGTATATAAACTATATTACACCATAGTATTAATTAAAATAATTCAGTGGTTAGTATTTCTTATTTATTTCGTTGCTTCTACACTAAGTGGCAATACCGTTATCCTACCTAAACTATAGAATCATATTTTAAGAATTCACATTTTTTTTATCCTGTCCTCCGTTGTCAAGTAAATACTATTTTAAACTAAGTGGGTGATCTAATGTTCTGCTGATATAAGCCAATACTGTATCACATGTTTAACTTTCCATTGAATAACGCAGCTTTTACGCGTTGGAAGAATAAGTCCTCTTAATGACAAGGTAGGTGAAAATCGACAAATAGGGCGGATTCTTTTCAACTGCACAATATATTTAAGGTAAGTGCTACGTATTAGAGAAACGGCGAAGCGGCAGTGCAATGGCCGACCTTGCAGTGAAAGCGGAGGCAACTTAAGCGTGCCAAGTGGGGGCAGTTCTCAAGAATAATGAATTAATTATAGGTTATTAGATGTTCTTTCCCAACTCATATCGTAACAGCTACAAATCCATAACCTAACCCCATTAGTACGTAACAGTTTTGAGACGGCACAAGCGTTTTGCCACGAGAACTGTTAAGCGGGAGAACTGGTAAGTAGGGTAGGAATATAACCGTTGAGGATACATCTGATATCTTATCAGTTCTCGGCACACGCGGCAATTGCGCAGATAACTGCATATGGCGCTGTTGCGCCATCGCCGCCTGCGATTCTTCCACGACCTGGGACGATATTATCCGTTCGGGTAAGGTCTATTGGAAGCGCGGTGCATCGAGGCTAACAGGCCGATTTAAGAGCCGAGTAGGTAGCTAACGCGGTAATTACAGGAGAGACGGTTGTTCCTGTGTAAACAGTTGATGGCAGTTCCTACTCAACGACCGAGCAGGCGGCTTTTACTACCGCAGCTGATCTTAATCGCGGTCACAGCAAATACAGGATAGAAAATCGTCAACTTAAATGTGGCTATGTTGGAGAGTAAACAGCATGACTCTTGTTTTATGAAATTCATTTAAAATAATCTTTCAATAATTATTATCACTTGAGGGAAATAATATCATATCGTCGATTTATTGCAGCCATTGACATTTCACAACCATTAAAGTCACTGAGAATTGCGATGAATTATCCCGTAGGCAAAAGAAGAAAATTGTGAGATTGTAGTACCTACATCTGACAAATAAAAGAGTTTGTGTCATTTAAGTACACTTGATGTGGCATTTTATCAATAAATAGGATCGAAATTTGAAAATTAAAGGTTATTATAAGTCCAGCTCCATCAAAACTGTAGTCATTGACGTTATGCAATAAACTGACGACATCCTCGATTGCAGTTAAATTAATTTCATGAACGATACAGTACTTCATTCATAAGTAGCACTGAAAACACAGCATGACTCGTAATTGCTATTCAAGTAAACTAGTTGCACTGAACTAGAGAACATCTCTCGATAAAAAAAACAAAAAAAAAAACAATGAAATTTTACACATAAATATGTGAAAAAACGACTTGATGTGTTTATGGAAAAGTATTGCTAGAGTTTCTGTCAAACGCAAACCGATAACCCATCGGAAAAACTCCGACTAAGGATAATTGATGAGGAAAGAATTCCATTAATTCAATTTCTACTAGGACGATAACAAAGGACATGAAAAACTCATTCAATTTTATTAGACGCGCCGTGATGAAAGCACTTGATGGAAAACGGCTATTATTCGATAGCCTGAGTGCTTCAGGTGGAAACGAAGCGATTCATTTAATCAAGGAACTATAAAACTTAATAAATCTAGAGTGCTTCATTCTACTAGAGTGAGCATAGTATAGTAAAATTTTCTTCTGTGGGACTATCAGCTCGTTTAACGATAATCGTTATTTATTACCTTTCTGAATCTAATAAGCAAACGGATCACGATCAATTCTGACCAGAACAAATAAATGTATTTATTTTATTGCAACTAAAAAATAAAATGTAGAGAACTGTCGCTATCACTAATTAAAATTCAATTTTCAAGATGAATCCGGAATACAGAAAGTTACTCCAATTATTAGATTAACTTCCATGCTCCAAGGAAAGGTATATTAATTTTAATTTTTTAAATGCGCACATAGGTCAAAGTGACTGATTATAAACTTAATGGACAAAAGTCAATTATTCTCCATTGAATAGTCATTATTTACTATGATCGTTAAATAGTCCCAAAACATTATGGCAAGTTTTGGATACGAATTATGATTTATAGTACGGTAAGGTTTAGTTAATATCTTTATGTTAATATCGTAGTGGCTGAGAATGAAGCACTGGGGTCTTCTGGAACCCCCTGTTATAATAGCTCTTAACTATTATTTCATTTTTTTGTACATAAGTATATTAATTTTCTTTTTTTATTTTCTATAAGCCTCCTTCTTTATTATCTTTAATTTAATGTCCTAATATCAATTCCTTTCAATACGGCAGAATGTATTTATCTGAAAAAATAAAAATAGCTATGTTCTTTCAATGATTCTATACAATGAAATAGCTGTTACGTTCTTATTTAAATAACTATACAACCTTGCTGGTATACATGCCTTCTAGAACGACTAATAAATGTAAGAATATATTTAGAAAAAAATGAAATTGTTTATTCAAATGGCATAGATTACATCCTGAAGGGGAAAAGGACAAATGATTATTGCATGAAGTTTTAAAGGAAATTTAACGAGGTTTCTAAATAAAAAACTTTTTTTTGCGTAAAGTTTCTTTTTAAGAAATTATTATATCTTTTTGAGAAAAAGCATAGATTAAAACATAATAATCATTTAATAAATTGTATATTTGGTGTTTCATACATGTGCTAAATTGAAAATAGAAGGATATATTTCTATTTATTAGCCACGTATAAGGGATTTTTATATGTGTGTTTCGTCCCACCACCCATTTTTTTTTTTTTTTGCTGCGAACAAATACAAGGAAGACTGGATGAACTTGTCCATTAGGAGAAGTTTCCTTGTATACGAGATATATTACACAAAGTACAAGAACTGGAGACTCCCAGAGGCCGAAATACTGTTACGGACTAAAGCAACTCCCAAACACATTGGAGCCACGAGTGCCTTTGACGGCAGCTGAGTTCATCAAGAGTCGGACCGTACGTGGAAACACCACCGAATAACCAATTATTTCTAGCAAATTAAACCAACACCCTTTAGCGCCGAGCCTACGCAGTAATTGACTTAGCGTCTCCTCTTATTCCACATAGCCTTCAAGGCTTTTTGGCTATAAATAAATCCCTCTTAAGAAGAAAAATTACCAGCATTATCGTATCTAACTGTCCATTAATTTATTTATAAAATATAATAGAGGAAATTAATAAAGAAAATTATTAAGCCCGCTCGCCTTATAAAATGATATATTATTGGTATTAAAGTCTTTTGCAATTTTTTTTTTAAAATATAATACATACTAATTATAAAATTACAGATTTGATATTAAGAAAATTAAACTATATAAACAGAGAAAACTAACTAACAGGATCCTAAACTGAAGTAAATAAATGGTAACAATTGTTGTAGTATAAAATATGCAATTATGAATATCTTCTACAAATCTCAAGCGAAGATTGGAAGAAAAGGATAAAAAATATGAAATAACGGACGTAAAGAGATGTGAAGAGAGAAAATAAAAACAAAAAAAATATATTAAATATTTAATAGTTGACCATTGAATTATAAAGGAAGGAGATGGCCCGGGTGGCGGTCATAAATAGGCTAAATAGTGATAAAACTATTTTATTAAAAGCCAACGTTTCGACCCGACTTTGCAGCTCTTCTTCAGGGCTGGGACGGACAAGATACAAAAAGATTATTGTGGAAATTGTCTAAATATTATGTAATTTCCACAATTCTCTACGTTTTTGTATCTTGTATCTTTTTGTTCTAGCCCTGAAGAAGAGCTGCAAAGTCGGGTCGAAACGTTGGCTTTTAATAAAATAATTTTACGACTATTTATGACCGCCACCCCGGACCATCTCCTTCCTTTAAAAAAAATATAAATAAATACAATAATATATATATATATATATATATATATATATATATATATATATATATATATAATATTTAGACATTTATATATAAATAAATTAAAAATAGAGACTTACAACTGCGTTCAGCAAGATATGGTTACATTATAGACACAATTATTTAATTTTTTTTTTATAAGACGTTTACATTATACTATTTTGGGGGATGGGAGAGGGGGCCGAAAGCCACCCCTTAGATTTGCCTGCGCTTCTTAACAAACAGAAACCCAAGAAACATACCTCGACGCCTCGAGGCTATTATTGGGAACAGAACAATGTCACGGAATGATTGATACCTGTTCATGAGACGATTTGGTTAATAGAAGGTCCAATGAAGGACAAGCTGAAAGCAGGTTATTCCACCCACACGATTCCCCAAGGCCGTACTATACTGTAGCGACAATCATTCTGAAGGAACCTTGCTACAAAATCTAAACCTCGGACTTTCATATGAAAAATTGAAGTGAACAGGTGTCTAGCATGTGTCTAGTCAATTAATTAAATAGTTAATATGTAACCTAATAGGAATGTTACCTACTTCAACACAATTTTTTTTTTTACTTAATCTTATAGAGGTTGAAATAATGTCGGATCGAAAGAAGAGCTCAAAGAGGAATATCCATAATTTTCTAGTTAATCTACACTAAATATAATACAGTATTATAGATTCCTTTTCAGCCACTCTGAAGCAATGGATTTTGATTAATGAGTTACCATGCGAAAGAGAATTTCATAGTGAAATAACTTATTCCAATTCCGAAATAAAAATCGACGGATCGCGATGAAATAGTGTTTGAAAGATATCGTTGCGGACATCAAGACCCGTTATAGTTCCAAAGCTTCCATACCCAAAGCTGTAAGCTGTAAAATGTACCGTTATTGAGATAATATCCGTTATTCTTGGAAAAAGGTACTATAAATGTCATGTGTTATTTATCATATAAGGTATAGGGGTTTATAGGTTTTAAATATAAAAATACTGGTGTTTATGATAGCCTCTGAAGAATTAAACGTTCGCTCAAAAGTAAATAGCTCCAGGATTCCAAGGGCACTTCGGACAAGATAATACAGAAAGATATTTTCAACAATTTTGAAATATCAATATCAATATTAGTGTTGTCCAAATGCGAGCGAGACCGAGACGATCTTGGTCTTGCAATTACTTATTAGCTTATAACTGTAATTTTTTAAATAAGAGAAACGTAACTAAGCCTGAATGAAAAATTAGGAGAGTTAAATGGAAAAGTATATTGGTTATACCAAATATTTATATATAGTAAATAAGATAGTCAAGTATTATTAACTATTTTGTCTTAATTTTTATGGAAAAGATCAATTTTTTTTACCAGTCCTGGTCTTGGAACAGTTAGGCGGCCTTGGTCTTGGACCGATTTTGGGCAACACTAATCAATATAAACATTGATTCTCTAGCATATAAGCGCATATATGCTTATAAAGAGAAAACAAAATTTTCCTCTTTAAATTAATTAATGTAAACATTAATTCTTCAACTCTTCTTAAAATTAATTTTCTAGTCCCTGTCCATGTTGGTCCTCCTTAACTATTTTCATTCAACCAATTATGCCCTTCATTCACCATTCCATAGACCATGTTCAGCGAAATGCTAATTTATTTGCATCCTACATAGATTTCTTTCATAATTCGTAGAGTACCACGCGGACTAGTTAACTCTACTTAGGGATATGGTTATGGATAGTCGATATTACAGAAATATCTATATTTCTTTTAACTAGGCACTATATTCTATCTGAAATAGGCAAGATGAGTATACTTTTTTATTTTAACTATGAGATTCATATATAATTCCTAGCGCTTTCTGAAAACCATATTTATAATTTTTAAATGAAAAATGTTAAAATAT